AGTGTGTTGGTTTGGGTTAGACTCAACAAGAGTCTCCAGAGCATCAATATCAAATCCAACATGTCGACCCCTGCCATCACAGTTTTTAAGGCCAAAGTCACCTGAACGAAGTTTGCTGACCCATCGTCGACACTTACTAACGTTCAAAACATTCCCATTGATATTTCTGTGGCTACAGAGATGTTGTTTCCCTTCTTGTATTCAAACAGCATTACATGCCAAATATGTGTCTCGTCGTATACTATCACTATAAGGGATTAGAGTATACTAAACTTTACACATTATATAGGCTACACCAACGTTACGTTTAGGCGATTCGTTTAGATATTATACGTGATGTAAGTGTTTTGGGGGTGGTTAATGAAAGTGTTCCAAAACGCGACATTAATTTATTGACGACCTAATATTAAAGTCATACGAAATCCATAATGCAGCATCCCATAATTTTAGCTTACTAGCATCAATAATCATTCTCATTTCACATATGCAAGCGAAGGTTAACCTCTGTTTCATACCACCCTTTCACTTGGTGTGACTCACACCCCTTGAGAGAGAGAAGCAATACCTGGAGCCTTAACCTTAAATGAGGACTAAAGTAAGTTTACGAATACTTTAGTCCTGTTTAGAAGGTCTTTAAGTAACTGAAGAAACATTAACGCAAATATTTTGAAAAATATAACCCACAAAGACACATTCATATTCTATTTATGAAAGTTTGCAAGTGTAATATCCCCCCCCCCCCTTATTTCAGGGCTTTCTAATTCTTGAATCTTGTAAACTAACAATAAATAAAGAAACTAACGTAGTCGTGGTTTCCATTAATCGTTTTCACCAATAACATGCACACGATGGAACAGTTAGTCCTATTTACCTGAAGAAAGACTTTCGACCAAAAAGGTAGTATATTTGAAAATAAAAATAACAATTATTGTGTGCTAGGTTTTACCATTTCAAAGTTTTATTATAGAACAAATAGGAGTTAAAACGTATCCATGATAATAAACGGAAATGAAAAATCATAAATTATCATATTTAAAATAAACTTAAAAACATTATTATGCATAAATAAAGAGACTAAAAAAGATGAAATGTTGGCCAAAAAAGAATAAAATAAAAATTAAAAAGTTCTGAACATAACAGCACAAAAAACTAAAAATTGTCTGTTTTTTAGAGCAAAGCCACAGTGGGCTATCTGCTGTGTCCACCATGGGTAATTGAGCTCTGGATTTCAACATTGTAAGTCCATAGACTTACCGCTGTTACACGGGAATACTATAAAAACAAATTTAAATTTATAAGAAACAATGAAACTGAATGAAATTAAAACAAGGCACATGTTTACATCTTCAAATAACGCATACAGAATATGACCTTCAAACAGAATAACGGGCAAAATAAAAAATAATATAAGTAGGTACAAACTCGCAGGCCCGGCATGGCCAGGTGGTTAGAGCGCTCAACTCGCAATCTGAGGGTCGCGGGTTCGAGTCCCTATCACACCCCCTTTCAGCCGTTATAATGTGAGGGTCAATCCCACTATTCGTTGGTGAAACAGTCTTACACTGCTAAATGAGGGACGGCTAGCGCAGATAGTCCTCGTGTAGCTTTGCGCGAAATTCATAAAAAACAAACAAATAAAAATATGCATTACATGAACTGAAAAGAAGATAGAACATGTATAATATGTTCTAGGTATAATAGAGAAAATTAGATGTTTTAACACTTTGATATTTACAATGAACATTGTTATGCCTATAGAGATTATCAAATTCCTTCATGACTTAGATCTTCTAGGAAGTCTCCTCATATTTTGAGCATCATATAAAGATTGATAGTTTTCTACTAGAATCAACAGTTTTCGCCAAGAAACCTAATAGGTTTTCTACATTAAAATATCGTCGGTTCACAAACAGGCAATAGAATAGAGCTAATTCTTGACATCAGGAGTGGCGGAGACCTGTATTATAGTGGTTAAAATGCTAGAGACGAATTTTAGAACAGTCACAGTTAGACGAATTGTCAGAACAGTCACAGTTTAGCTATCATTTTAGGCTGTGGTTGTCAGAAGTCCCTTGCAGGTTCCGAGGGCTGGGTCAAGGGTTCTAACTATTGAAAGATTGGGTGGACCCTCAGCTGGGCCTGTTCTAACCTACTTGGCCTCTTGTTCTTCTATCAACTCCT